TCAGTTTCTGCAAACTCAATCTGGCAACAAATACAGCTAACGTGCCTTCCACTACGCAGCGCTACAAATATGCCAATGTTACCCATCCCCAGCTCAACGTCACCGTCAAACTTCCCATCGTGTCGGTCAAGAAGAACCCAAATGCGCCGTTGTACACGTCTCTGGGAGTTCTTACTAAAGGAACAATCATCGAAGGTATGGCTCCTAGAATTGGTTGGAAATCCACAGCTGACATCAGAATTCAGTCAACGTCTCTGAACTGGGACTTACGACAGCCAACGGATCGGTAATTTGGGGAAGGTACGCCCAGGTAACGAATAAGTAGGTTCTCTTCTTTTTTTTGTACTTCGTTTTTCATTTCTTCGCGGTGGTGATTCTCCAGATCGATTATTAGCTGACCTCTTCTGGAGCCCTGAGAACGAGGGGACTCTGAACTCAATTCTGCTCGTATAATACGGGAAACAGATACAAGACGATGGAAAATGCAATATCTGGGTGTTCCAAAGAGATTCCGGCGTCTGGAGTTATGGCATCTCATTGAATGGGGTTTGGCTGGATGTCCCCGACAGATTGACAAAATCAGCTTGACCTAGGTAGTTGATAGAAGGTTCTCATTTGTACCTCTAAACGGCGGCCCCATATATATTGTTGATTGCACGCAGGGGTTGGTGACATGCACATTGATACTCAAGATAATCGAAAATTCACGTTGACTATTCTACGCTGCGCGATGCCGCAATGCAACTATGTGATTGAGTTTGAATGATCGCGAGCCTAACTTCGCAGATAGCGGGACGGACCGCACATGGCAAGGTTTGATCCAGGCTATCAGATGAACTCTCGACCTTGAAAGGTCGGAATGAGGAAGTTTGAGACGAAGACTTGGCCGACTTAAGCTCGTAGACTTGATTTCGGGAAATGCTATTTTCCCATTTGGCCCAGGCAAGTCATTGAGATGCGATTGGGAGCGCACACTCGTAGTGTCATCAGAGACGGACCTTAGATAAATGTGATTGAAGAGAGCGTAGCAAACAGAAGTTTCGACAGAGCCCTCTAGTCATTTCTACTCCTGTTGTTTGCTCATTAAGCCTGCACAATGTCCAGGCCAAAGTGATCTTGTGCTAGATACACTATCACCCCGATTGAAAGAATAGGAGAAACGAGGGTAAGAGTGAACAGCGATGCAGCAGAGCTTGTACTTGGAATAGCCATGGATTCGTCGGCAGCAATCTAGCACACACTGGAAGTACATAAGATCAAGCCATACCAAACGATCTTGTGCATTGATGAACCAGAGCCAAACAACCATTTTGGTTAACGTCAGGCCTGCCTTGCTAAACCTCAGCTCAAATGCACACTGCCTGATCCCTCGGAGGGTGCATCCGAGACGATGAAGTCCTCCTTAATCTCAGTAGCGCCGTTCATCGGCGGGAGATGTCTCGGTGATCTTGATTACAGGCCCCCTGAGCTTCCGCAGAATGCTGCAGGGTATTAGGTGCTTCCAGGAGGGTCGTTGCCATCCCGACGTCGCCTTCACCTGTCAGCCATTGGAAATGGCTGGACAACCCATAGCTGCTGAATCTGAACTCATACCGGGCCATGCTTAAGAAGAATGTCGTTTCGTCGTACCTCTTTACCTGCCCCCGCTCTTTCATGCGCTGCATCTTCTATTCTAAACGCCCGGCGATGAGAAGGATCGGCTCATGCTTGTAGGTGAATCCCATGACAGAGCCTCGTCGCAACAGACCTGCTTGTATCAGGCAGAGCTAGCGTTCGAGATGCATTCTTCTCAAGCCTTGGCGACCCGGAAACCTTTTTAACCACCTCCGCAGCTTGCGAATGCTTGGTTCAGATCTCCAGCATGAAATGCTTCGTCTCCTCAACACCAAAGTTTCTGCACCACAATCCTTGTTAACACACAGACAACAACTCAGTCTGCGACATCCTCCGTCCCAAAGCAGTCAACTTACACAGTAAGAAATAACCTCGCAAACTCATCCACGTCGAACGGTCTCGCCACCTTGGCAACCTCCTGCACAAAAAAGCTGTTGACCATGAACAGCGGCTTCTCCCGCCACGACGAGAAGAAGGCAGGTGACGACTGGGCTTCCCATAATGATCTGGAGAAGGTCCACCGGTGAGGTGCCAGCCAGTTGGTGACGTCCGGTTCTGGTTTCGTCGGTCAGCTCGGAACACCGAAACTCGGATGCATTGAGAGGCGATATTGATGCGGCTCATAGGGCAACGGAAATGGGGCAACATGAGGTGGGAAAACTTACCACTCTCGCCAGCCGCCTTCAGAATCTCAAACAACGAGGTGAAGATATGGCCCATCAGCACCGTCCTCCTTACACACTCATTAAACACCCACACTTCCCACGACCGAGGCGGCCTCTGTCTGAGGGCAAGATCATCCAGCAGGTGCACATCGTCAAGGTTGTCCCTCAGCCCCTCCAACTCCTTCAACCACCGCTTCAGCACCTCCATATCCCTCTCCCCCTGTGCTCTCATCGCCACATCCCCGTCGAAACAGCGAATCGTCTGCAGCAGCCACAGCGCCTGCGTCCGCGCGAGCTTCTCATGCCCCGTCATCGCCGCGCTCGCGGCCGGGTCCTTGGCGGACTTGAGCACCTCGGCGGCGCCCTCGCAGATGGCGCGGATGGCCCAGCCCTTGTTGGCGTTGGTGCGGCCCGCGTAGGCGGAGATGGCCGTGTAGGCGGCGAGGAGGGGCCGCGGCGTGGCGTGAATGCCGCGGTAGAGGTGCCGGTGGAGGAAGGGGGTCTGCTTCGTCTGGGCGAAGGTTGTGTGCATGTTTGTGAGGTAGGACACCATGTAGCCGATGCGCGAGTCGGGCTCGTGGATCTGCCATGGTTGGAAGTCTCCCTGCGACATGCACTGAGTTTCTCTTGGTCAGGGATGGGCTTGGCATGTAATGACGGATATCATACGGTGAGAAGGGGGTTATGAAAGGGGATGAGAAGGGGTGTTTGTGGGTCGGAGTAGGACGTGGTGATGCGTGGTGATGGATGAGATGAGAGGAAGAGGGGGGGTTGACCGATGAAGAAGAGTTGGGTTGCTTACCAGAATGTCGTCCCTCTCCATACCACAACATACGGAACCCATGTACGGCAGTTCGGGCGCGAGACTCTTGGAGAGCTGGGGGAACTGCGGCGTCTCCCAGACCTGCATCTCACCGCCCTGCGCCGGGTCTACGTTCAAAAAGTCCATGACCGAGTTGAAATCGAAATTCGGCATGTTGGGATCCAAGCTCAACGGCGACGTCGTCGCGCTGCTGTCAGTGGGCTCGTCCATCACCAGCGTGCCGTTGACATAGGTGGATGATGTCGAGGAAGAGCTCCCGCCGAGCGTGTTGAAATCAAAAGGATGCGGCGCCGGTGGGAGATGGTCACTACTACCGTCCTCGAGGTCCATGGCCTGCAGCGGATCATCCTGGGCATCGCTTACTGTGGCAGCCTTTGCTGCTGCCGCACCCTCGGCAGGACCACCGCCGGCCGGGGGCAGGTTCTGGTAGACGCAGGCGAAGTTCTTCTCTGAGCAGCGGGTGCAGCGCGGGGTCCGCTTGTCGCAGCGGCGCTTGCTCCGTACGCAGGCGTTGCAGCTCTTCTGCCGCGACTTATCCGCGGCATCCGCATCGCCGCCCATCTTGGGATCGGTTGCGGACATGGCTCTTTGTGCCTTGTGTGTCCTGTTCCGCTTTTGAGGCGGAGAATGAGATTCTTGAGGCGACTGTTGAGTAAACCTGATTGTATAAGAGGGACGGGATTTGCTCAGCCAGCCCTGAAGCTGGGGGAAGATGGGAGGCGAGAAAGTGGGAATGACAAGAAAGATTTCCACTAAATCAATCTTCGCTCGATGAGAAACAATCTGGCCTGTCTGAGTCCACGTGTGGTGAGTAGGCAGGCTGGAGCTTATGCGGTGGATGAGTGCATGAGTCCGTTGTACTGGGGGGCTCGGTGAGATGACGGTGTTTAGGTGTGAGATCACGTCGGAGGGTCCGGAGCGGAGGTTGGATGTGTCAAACTCCGCTGCGACCAAAGTCCGCCCGCTGCGGCCCCACACGGCCGCCAAACTCCGCAATCACGGGTCGCCGAAACTCCGCCCGGCAAATGCAACCCTGGGTTGACCCCCGTGGAAGGGCGGAACGGAATAAACCTCCTCTGTCTCGTCGCATGGAAATCTCATGGACTGACGAATCCTGCCATCATCCCGTCAACTCAACACATGGACATTCCAGCAATTCATTTCTCGCCACGAGATCCCGACGTTCTGGGCCTCGAATCATTTAGCCGCATCCGTTTGCGGAAATACACACGTATGCTAAGCATGTCAGGCGTCGGCACGAGGACAGGATGACTTTACGGATTTCCCTATCCGGCGATGGCGACCCTCTATCGGGCCAGACTTCTACCAAGCCTTCAACGTCAACCGCTTCGAAAACAAGCTTACCCCGGTGCCCTGGACAGCGCTGAAGCCTTCGGCCCGCCAGCAAGGCAGCTTGGGCGGGAACGCTTCCGGGACCATGAACCTCCGATATCAAACACAACCGCAAGCAGAAGGAACACTTCCATGACCCTCTCCCAGATCCCTTTGACAGATGACGATCCCTTCCTTCATCGCAAAACGTGTCCTTCGGCCAGAGCCATGCAATAGATCCGGCCCGAGCAAGATGCTCACCCTCACGATCCGAGTATCAACCCGTTTTCAGAAATATAGACCCTCATCGAAGAATGACGCGCCAGATATCGCGGTCAATCCCTGCCCCCCCCCCCCCCCCCCCCCCGGGGGATGCCCAGTGTCGCCCGCACTAGCGGTCCCCAAGATCATCACTTACCTCATTCCGAACGTTCAGTCTTTGCCCGTTGGCCAGCCCGCTCCGGGCTTGCCGTCACCACCCCCTCGATGATCTAGACTCCGTCCTTACACCAAAGCCATCTCGACCCCAACATCTGGATACAACCGGCCCAATCTCCGACGCAATGTCACACATTTCGCCAGATGGTCCTGCCTAGTAACACCCCTCCTACCCCTTCATCGTCGAGATCTAAGACTAGGCGTCTTATCTCCGACGCCAGGTTACACCGTTCGCCTAAATTCATCCCCTCCTTGACGTCTGCAGCCGGGCGCCTTCAAGCCTCAATTGCCCATTATTAGCATTGTGTTGTCAAACTGGGCCTGGACTCTGCTCGATACTCACCTAACCCCCATCTTCGCCTCTGACCATCAGCTAAGAGCCCCCCAGCCAGCGTAGAGAATTAAAGTTGAGCTGGACCATTTTGTTAGCTCCAGGCAGCTGTCCAGATCTCCAGGACGAAGAGAAGCCAGCGGGTTCCTAGCCGCCATCGTGGGTTTCGCATGCACCTGGATCGGGGATGAACAGATCCTCAAACATGGAACGATCGGGTTGGCCACACCGACATGCAGCACAGCGGCAACTGGGCGCGCACAACGGGGGGGGGGGGGGGGGGGGGGCGAGCTATGGGCATTCTCTATCTGGGCTGAGCCGGACGTTCGAGAGGAAAGGCAGGTAGGCTAGCAGTAGGCGGTGACTATGTTAGCTCCCGCACACTCGTGCGCCTGCCTTTCTCTCCGTTACCCCTTTCCACGCGCCCCCCTCCCTCAGCGTTGGTCAATCTGGCGAACGCTGTGCGAGGATAATCTCAGAAAGAAAGGCCCATTCTGAATCTGGAATCGTCATTCACCAAAGGAAAAGGGGGGTTCGCGCATCGTCGCACAATAACATGACCCGAAAGGGAGGATCAAGAAGGAAGGATCAGCCGGCCGTTCGCTCGCTGACCCTCATCATTGGTGCGAACAAACAACGCAGTTGTCAATAGAAACGTCCGAAGGAAGGCGTCTATCCCAATCTTCGAGACGATCTCTCGGTATCTTTGACCTCTGTCCCGACCGCCATTGGCGTCAAGCCTGCCCTTTGGACCCCTAATCCTACCACTAGTATCGTGGGTCCTCCTAGAGAGACGGTTAGTTGGATGAACAAGACCGGTTGAGGCTTGCTTCCTGCGGGCCCGGACCGAAAGACGGCGGCGGGTGACGGAAAGTAAAAATCCATGCTAACCCAGGCCATGCCACATGTGTATGCTGTGGCTGACATTGGGTGGGGCACTGCACAAGGCTCGAAAAGGGCATATCTTTCTGCATTACTGATCGTAATGTTCCTTTTATCGCTAGCCTCCGGAGCCGGTCCACGGTCTTGTCTCATGCTACCGCGGAAAGGTAGCCGAAGCGTACGAGGCATTCGTAACACAATACTCGCTGGTGGCAGCCGTCGTGTGCTATCGCTGGATTCTCTTCCCGGCACTGATTGGTTCCCGTATCCGATTCCTGTTGGTCCTTGTAGGTCAAACGATACCCTGGGACGCCTTTTCCCTGGCTACCGGCGACCTGGTAAAAGAAGGGCATCTGCTTTGCATGCTGATGCCCGGACGAGAACAGATGTGGGGGAAGACAGAAAGTGGTGGGTGTCACGCACCCAGACATCAGAATGCAGGTTGCCGGAAAAGCGCGACGCCACGAGGCGAACTAGATTGCTGCAAACAGGTTTTCGTTCCACCGCTCGAATGTCTCAAACATCCCGAAAGTGCCTGGTGGCGCTCGCCCATTGTACATGTTTATGTTTGGATGTGCGTACGGCCACACGTTTCTTTTCTCCTTGTGGCGGTATTCATTCACGAACAGCAACTTGGGGGGGTTGCATTGCTAGGCTTAGTGATAGACCATAGATCACATCGCCTTGTTCCAGCCACGTTCACTAGAGGCCAAGAGGCCAAGCCGCTCACCTGACGGTTGACAGGTCAGGAATCGAGACGGCGTGCCTTTTTTTGACCGAGCCACTGTCTGTTGTCGGTTCGGAGGAAAAAGGAAAAACGTGTCGCAGTTTATCCATGCGGAAAGGCCGCAACGGCCAGCGATTAGTAGATCGCCTACCCGCCCCCTCGAAGAAACTTTCGCCGGTGGCCTTCAGCGATACTAGTGCGCAGTAGTGCGAACAGGAGTACTGCACAAGCGCAGTAGTCTCTGCCTTAACCCCAGAGATCTGTTTGCTGGAGCCGGTGGGGGTGTATCCTCAGTGTGAATGGCTTCGTGTGCGCGTAAGCCTTTGTGGTTCGCCTCGTTTCTCACAGGCATGACACTCGGTCAATTGAATGGCTGCTTGAGACAAGCAAGCCGAGTTGGAGCTCATCCGTCACCGACTCATCAGGTGTGTGCCTCGTCCAGCGGCACGAGTCGACAGCGTGGATAGACTTGTTTCGATGTCCCAGCTGCCCCTGTTTCGCCAGTCGAGGTTGGTTGGATTCCGCAGCGGGAAGCTTTTGGAGCCTGCAATGGAGCGGGACGCCCGGATCCATTGTTGCTCTGTGCAGCATGACTGCTCCAGGGAGGGTGAAAGCTTCCTGGCGTCGATCATCGGTCCAAACGCCCATCGCTTACGCCAGCCATTGTCATGTTTGACCACAACGGCGACGGTGGTGATTTGCGCTTTTGTCTGCCCAGGATCCTACAGTGCGTAGTATTTGACGCCGGTCTGATGCCCCGAAGCTTTTCTCGATGGAATCAATTCGTTCCGCACGCCTGGTTCGCGTGGGAGACCAGTTAAGCACCACGCCGTGGTTTGACCGTTTGAACATCGTTGCTGTTTTGGACGCTGTGTGAGACACCGTCTGAATGCCGCAAAGCTAAAAGCCGTTGACGGCATGTTTGCGGCCGCCCAATCTCTCAAGGTATCATCTTTTTGGCTTTGACGGAAGCTTTGCTGGGGTCCGGGGTCTTTTGATACCAGCGATGGCTGCACAGCGGATTTGGCCCCGAAAGCTTTGTGGCATCCATCTCTCAACCCAAATGAGGCGGGAGACAGAACAACGGCGCAGGTGCCGTCCGAGGATCGATTGGGCGTGGTGTGTTGTACGTGGTATGGGGTGAAGGCCGGAAGCTTAGACGGAGAGTCTAAAGCCATGTATCGGTACTTGGGGATCTCGTCTGAACTTTCCGTGCTTGGGCACATATTTCTGCTTCGTCACCGAACACAAAGTCTCAGGTGTGGTTTTTGGCATATCAGGATTTCGTTTAGAAGCCATTCGGTAACGTGGCTGATTGGAGCATGTTCAAAGGTTGGCGGTGTCCGTTCGTCGCCATGTGTTCGTCGAGAGTGGGATGGAATACTCTGGCGCAATCAGTTCCCTGGCGTCCCAAGCTAAGAAGCAGCTCCCCGCGCCAAACTCTGTTCACAGTCAATTGCCGAAAAAGGTTCCTAAATATAAGATATCTAATCCACAGTTTGGAGTAATTGGTGGTCAATAAGTTGCTGGAAAGGTTGCTCAGCCACCAGTAAATACATTGCCACCGACAATAAAAGCACAGGCAGTGAGCAGCAACCCTACCTAGTGAGAGACGTTGCCCGCTTGGAGGCTTATCTAGTCGTCATGGAGCTTCTTATTCGAATTCTGTGGCTAAATTTGCTTAGAGACAAGTCAGTTTGAATAGCGCTTTCGCGTTCTCCTGGCTATGCGATCGACGTGTAGAGCACTGTGCGAGGCATGTACTGGAAGTGACTGTTGCTATAGAACACCTGTGGCTGCACAAGTTATTTCAAAGCCGTCTTAGGCCATGCTACCGTTGTCTAGTCTGATGAAAGAGAATGACTGATATGAAACGTTTCCTGAAATTCTGAAGTGGCCCAGGAGTCTTTCAGTCGCTTGCATTAGAGCTGCAAATTAGCAGCAACAAGAGACATGCAAGGTCCGACGTCATAGAGTCTGGGAAACCTTGGTGATGTGTCAAGGGTTGCGCAATCGGAGCTCGACAGTGTCGAGGCCAAACTTCTGTCGTCCGAAGTCTGCAAGGACGATGGCCCTGAGACCCTGAGCGTCAAGATAGGCATCGTACAGCCTAACAGCGAATCCATGGGGCTTCCTCTTCGTCCCGAGACAGACGAGGAGGAAATTGACAATTCCAGTACCATGTAGTGTCGTGGCACAAAAGGGCGATAGCTTTTCGAAACCGTCTTGCTAGAGCTGACCACAAAAGATTTCCTACTTCCAAATAAGCTATTGCTGGAAACAAAAGGTGACAAAGAATCGACCTCAAAAGGCAACAATCCAATAACACAGCTGATTTGTTTACAGATTGTGACTTTGGGGCCTTTCGAGCTGAGAATTTGTTCGTTTCAGAGGGCGGCGATTTCGGTGCAAGCGCGTTGAAGCCACCGTCGTCTACTACTTTACGCCGTTGAAGCACCTGCGTCATATTAGATTGCAGAGCCAGCCAGGGCGCTGACTGCGCCATGCCTTCTGGCGCTGAACTCTTTTGTCCGTGCGACTGCCACCGAGATAGTCTCAGGAACTGAGGGGCAGGGCTGATTGAATTGCCGATGGCTGGACTTCTCAGGATACTCTCGGACAGGAGGGCGCTATGGATGAAACTCATATGACGAGCGAAGGGTTATAGTACCGGCTTGCCGATGTCTACGTTCTTGACGTCGAACGAAACTTGAAGCAACGTCCTACCGTGACGATCGTCCCAATCGGTCGTCTTCCCCGTGGTATCGAATCCATGTGGACGAAAACGGACGTTGACCGACCAGTCAATCCTTTCTTGCGAGGCGCAGGGGTCCAGGGGCGGCTCTGTGTCGGCCAAATACCATGAGAATTAGGCTAGATGGGAATGCAACGGCATGCCCATCTGAAGTGCTTCCATGGTCGACCCTGGGCCTGAAGTGAGCCGGAAGCCACGACTCGCTCCCTCGCTTGCCAAGGGGTTCGACGGCGTGGGTCTCGCCGATTGAGGACAGAGGGGGCCCGCATGTCCGAAGCTCACGAACCGTGCGGGGACAACGGCCGACGATGTTGAAAGTGCGGGGGACTGGGAATAGTGCTGCCACAGACGAGGATTCGAGTTAAATGGGCCAAAGATCTTGAAGGACTCCTTGTGTTACCAGATTTGTGTACATGGCTAGCATTTCCTTGGTGCCTGCTTCTCAATATGTGAATAGCGTTTGCATTGCCTCGGATTCGGTCTGTGTCTCGGATGCAGCATCAACGACTACACGCTGGGTTATCCGGACGAGATATCCGTGTAGAAAATG